AACAACTGCGGACCTATTCAGGCCATGGCGCAACATTCGGTACGTCACTCAGTGTAATTTAGTCGACAAGAAAAGCATGCCGAACGCCCAATTATCCCGACACAGGCGACTCCGGCCCCTGATTAAACTAATTACATCAATTTACTCGGATCGAAATCCTGACACGTGGCCGCCTCTCCGATCTGCAGCGCGGGGCACAAGTGTGCGTTTTTCTGCGATCGCCAAATCAGTCCGGCCGCGCCAGAGTGGGTGAGGCGAGGCCCGGGCCGCTCGTGTCGTGCCGTAATGGCTCTGGCGGCCTGCACCGAACACCGGTCCAGACCCGGCCTCGTGCACGACGCGAACGAAAACAGCGCACCGGGTTTTTGTGCGCGCGGAGCCCGCTCATGGAACTGGAGCGGCGGCGGCCGGACGAGGGGGAGGGGAGTTGCAGCCCATTCCCGCCGGTCCGACGCCGGACCAGCTGCGGCGGCCGGCCGGGGCAGCGCTCACCTGGGCCAGGGTGCGTCTCACTCGACTCGGGAAAGCCGTAGATGCCGAGCAGCTCGCGCATGGTGTTTTCAGCGTAGCGCTTCATCTCTGAGGGGTCGACGGCGGCCGGTCGACGCGGCAGGGCGCTGTTGATCTGGGTAGGCGTGCGCACCGTCAGATCCATGGGCGCCGCCGCCTCCGCCGCCGGCCGCGCGTCGGTCAGATCGAGCGCCTGCTCGTCCGACTCGCTGCCGGCCGAGTCGGCTGAGTCGCGCGGAGCGCCGCCGCTCGGCGCCGCGTACTGGTACACGATGGCGCGCGGCTCGAAGTTCTTGCGCTTGTTGCGACGCGCCGAGTCAGCGGCTGGCGGCCGGCCGGCAGGCGGGCCGACGGACGCCGACCAAGGGCAGCTGGCATCGTCGCCGCCGTCGCGCCAGTCGAGCGTGTCGCTGTCGCTCTCGCCGGGGCGACTCTCGGTGCGCTCGTCCTCCTCCTCGTCCTCGTCGGCCTCCTCGTCCTCGGCCGGCGGCGGCTCCTCGTCCGGTTCCGAGCCGCCGTGGCCGTTGCCGGCTGGCTCTCCTGGCGGCGAACGGCGTCGGTCAGCAGCCAGCGGGGACACGACACACACAGGCGCGTCGGAACCGTCGGCCGGCACAGCGTCTCGATCGGCGCAGGTCATGAGCCTGACCACGCTGACGCCAGCAGTCCCATGAGATCCACTCGGATTGCGTTCCCGGTACGGCAGCACGTGTGCGTGTTTGCAGGGGCTGGCCGGCGAGCTGCAGCCGGTGGGTGGTGAGCGGTGTCAGTGGGGGCGCCCGCCCAGCGGCGGAACGCTTTCGTCTGCGATGCAGTGACGGGCTGTGTCGGTGCACCGGTGCCGGCGAGGGCGGCCGGTCGGTGTCGGTCATCGGACGGGCCGCGGCGCTGACGCCGAGCCGGCCGCCGCGCCGCGTCCGTCACCAGCGCGCCTGTCATCGCGACGCTCTGCAGCGCCGGGCCGCCGCCGCCGCCGCCGCCCGGTCCCCCGGCGGCCGCGGCGAGACAATGGGCCGCTGACACAGCCGCGGCTGGCTCTGCAGGGCATTAATCAGAGCGGCGGGCGGCGCCGCACCGGCGCCGGCCTCTCACCCTGCGCCGAGACGCCGAGGGCACCGCTCAGAGGGCACCGCTCAGAGGACACCGCTCAGAGGGCACTGCTCAGAGGACACCGCTCAGAGGACACCGCTCAGAGGGCACTTCTCAGAGGGTACCGATCAGAGCGCACCGCTCAGAGGACACCGAGCGCAGACGGAGGTCGCCACGCGCTCACGCCTGCTCAGATGTCAGGCGTCAGACGTTGCACGTTCACGCCGCGTCACACCCGAGACATCCTCGCCGTGTCAAACACGGACGTCAGGTCGCAGATGTGACGTGCGTTGGCCTACTTCGCGCCATGTTAAGCGTCACACGTCCGACGTCGGATGGCGCCCTGCACGCCAGGCTGGACGTTAGCGATATTTGTGGGGCCGTCTCCCAGACTGTGGCTTCCGTGGCGGGGCGGCGCGAGAAGGTCAAGGGATGCGACCGTTACACTATGATCATTCATGTCATAAGCATTCCATATAGCCTCTAATTTTAGTGTTAGCTGGGTCTAAATCACGCATGGGTGCTTTCAGTATCTTGTTTGAGGCTCATCATAAGTTCCAACAGCTGTTGTCCTCCCTTCCAATTTTCCATTCGGAAGATTACAATGCCGCTGTTCATTGCTCCTTATAGGCGTCGTGAAAAGGCCATTTTAGATACAGCGTTATCATTAAGTTATTTGGTATCGGTTACTTTCCTGGAACCGACATTTCTCATTTCCTGCGCAGCTTCGCTCATCAGGCGTCCTGCTTTGAGCCGTAAAGAGGCAAAAACTGCAATGCCGAGGACGCATTATTTCGTGGAATATAATCTGATTTCCAAACCAGTTGGCTGGTTTAAGCCATCCAAGCCTATATCGAAACAACGTAATTGAGCGATAAAGCACGAAAAGGTGATAAAACCAGCGTGGCGTGCCGTTCATAGTGCATGCGCTTCACTGTTTACATCGAAGCTTGGAACGCCTGCAAACTCCGGTCATGGAGTTTGACCCCAGAACATGCAGGGAACCTTCGTTTGGAGATGAAACATGAACAGCCAAGAACAAACACTCGTTAACGGTCCAACATAAATTATGCATGCCGTGCAAGCTGATGTAAGCAAAACGAACACTCACATTTTACGTGCAAATGCAAAATGTTATAAAGAATTTAAAAACTATCCAATATTTGTGCTAAACAGTACCTAGCTGCTAGCATAGCAGAATGCATCCACAACCCTGTTTTACTCACCTCACCCATCTCTCTCCTCACTAATTGTCGTCAATACCTTACCGACATTCGCAGCCCAACAAGGCCAAATCACGGTTTGCTTTATTTGCAACGCGGCGGGCGCGTGACACGCGGCGCTCACCGGAAACGCGTAAAAAGCGAGTCACCGGGGAGCGGGCGCGACGTCGGCGGGTTTGTTTACCAGCGGCGGCCGGACCCGAGCGGGACCGCCACACAGCCACCCCCCTCCTCTGGGGTCAACTGGGAGTGACCGGTTGGCCGGGGGTGGTCTGACGTCTCAACCAGCACAGCAGGGGCACACAGCCTCGCAGGCGTCAATGGGCGTACGCCGGTGCTCATGTCGTGAATTGGCCCAGTTAAGCGTCTCTAAGCATCGATACACTGAACACATTGATGACGGGTTGGTAATTTGATCACCTGAACGTCGGGGACCAGGCAAAGATGTCTCCTGATATGCAGTCAGAGGCACAGCCAAGGGGGCCCCGGCAGTCTGTCTCCGCACCCGTCATTCGTAGCTATATATATATATATATATATATATATATATATATATATATATATATATATGTGTGTGTGTGTATTATTTGGACTCTGGTTTGAAATAAGTACATTATGGAAAAAACGAGGGAATACTCGGTTCTGCGCCCTGAAGAAAAAACAACAAAATTTCATCGAATTGTACAATAGCCGGCATCCCCAGCAAGGTTCAAAGATACGTCAACATCCAACCACATGTGATCTGATCTGACCACTAAAACACAAACGTCAAACAAGTTGGCACCGATTTGGTAGCATACACACCACGGTAATATTCACACAAATACACATTTCCAGCATCCAAAGATTATGAGCACTTTAACTTCCCCGATTGTTTAAGTTTCCATACCGTTATGCCTTTACTCCACTTAGCAGTCACATTAACCATGTTTGCCGTTACGGCTAAACCCGTACACAATCGTATTGATCATGATCCACTAATTGAGTACGTACAAGCTAACATATTTCCGATTACGGTGTATAGGAGACGATGGCAGTGTTGATACCGACTCCACATAAAAAGTCCTGCTTGCACTTCTGTATGTGCCCCCATGACATCTACAGTTAAATATGCGGGGAGAACGCGGTGTGGCAGGAGCCGCAACGACTGCACAAATCATCATCAAAATTGGCATAATTGGAACATTTCGCCACTGACAGACGCTCTTTTCGGTCTCTTTACTCCATGAGCTTCTCTGAGTTCTCTCCTCTCGCGGCCACAAACAGTTCTCATCACAGCATTACATATGACAGAGGCATTGAAGCGTCAGTGTATACACACATGACAGAGGTACAGAAGCGTCAGCGTGTACACACATGACAGAGGTACAGAAGATAAAAGTGTCAGTGTGTACACGCATGACAGAGGTACAGAAGCGTCAGCGTGTACACACATGACAGAGGTACAGAAGATAAAAGTGTCAGTGTGTACACGCATGACAGAGGTACAGAAGCGTCAGCGTGTACACACATGACAGAGGTACAGAAGATAAATGTGTCAGTGTGTACACGCATGGCAGAGGTACAGAAGCGTCAGCGTGTACACGCATGACAGAGGTACGGAAGCGTCAGTGTGTCCGCGTGGTCCGGGTGGGAGTTGGAGGCGTGGATGTCTTGCATCATCTGGAAGGCCCGAGAGCTGACATATGACAGAGGCCGACACTGGTGGTCCTGCGCTATGCACTGGCGGAGACAGTTGTCAGAAGGCCCGTTTACACAGCCGTCGGCGCTGGGCCTGGCGACAGGCCCGTCCGCAGCCCTTTTGTAAGCATGCAGCACGACATGAGCCTCGGTGCGCAGCGCAAGCCGCCCAGAAGTTACTCAGTTTTAGAGGTAGCCGCGTTTGAGCGGAGTGGGAAGTGGCATTCTCATTACACTTAATCAAACATTACATTTTCGTCCCGTCTGACGTCATTCGGGCGCCGCGAGAGAGAAACGTGAGCCCATCCGGAAATTTAGTCCAACCTTGAGGAAAAAGGTCACTGCTGACATTCACTACTTCGGCGCTTCTGAAAGCACCTTTCTCAGGTGTTGCTGACTTTTGAGAGGGCTTGGCCTGCCTCCGAGGCGGATCTGGCCTGCCTCAGAGGCGGATCTGGCCTGCCTCAGAGGCTAGATCTGGCCTGCCTCAGAGGCGGATCTGGCCTGCCTCAGAGGCGGATCTGGCCTGCCTCAGAGGCGGATCTGGCCTGCCTCAGAGGCGGATCTGGCCTGCCTCAGAGGCGGATCTGGCCTGCCTCAGAGGCGGATCTGGCCTGCCTCAGAGGCGGATCGGATAAAACAGTTTGCACTCCGGGCACCGGTACCATCCACCACGCGAAAAAACTTACAATGTCTGCGTACACTGCCGAATTCATCCGGTCAATCTCGCGCCAAAGGAGCTTCCTTCAAAGTTATGTCGGCGGTAGTGCCATTTTCACGCTGCCGTGCGCATTACAATCAGCAATACGATTCTATGGGAAGTCGAAAAAAAGACGGCTTGATCTAGTATATGTCAGCTGCGGTATATAAACACATAATTAATGCACAACCGATATGGTTATATCGAACCGATGTGCGTGGACTGATAACCAATGGCATGACTTTATGATGTCCAGGTGTTTGCGGACGGCACTCCACACGGCCTTACAAATTGTTTTTGTTTGGCTAGAGTTTGGGTTTACCTGCTTGCATTTGCCAGCTGCCGTCCAATAGAAGCCCGCGACAGAGCCCAAGCGAAATCTGAGACAATCAGCTAGCGACCCTCAACGCTTGGAAAGGATTTCTATCTCAGCCATAAACCCCCAAGCTATCCCATAACATGCCGAACGCTCGCCAGAATTAGCAACAGACGACCACAGAACTCATGTGTCATCCATGTCCTTTTCCGCCGGTTTTATGAAAACATCATAACAGGATCCTTGTTTGCGTAACCCGGTGAGTAGTTTCATATCTTGAGCAATATTTCTGAAGGCCAAACACAGCTAATACTGCAAAATCGGCTTCGGTCATATTTTTGTCAAAACAGTTCCTGGTAGCGTGTGACATTGCCTGGCAACACCAGTTTGAAACATGGAGGAGGATGGCTGGTGTATGTGTGTGTACGTGCGTGCGTGCGTTCGTGCGTGCGTGCGTGCGTGCGTGCGTGCGTGCGTGCGTGCGTGCGTGCGTGCGTGCGTGCGTGCGTGCGTGCGTGCGTGTGTGTGTGTGTGTGTGTGTGTGTGTGTGTGTGTGTGTGTGTGTGTGTGTGTGTGTGTGTGTGTGTGTGTGTGTGTGTGTGTGTGTGTGTGCGCGCGCGTGTGTGCGCCCGCCGGTGTGTCGCCCCACTGACCTGAGCTGGCGATGCCCAGCTCCGAGCTCTCGGCGCCGGTGTCCTGCTGAAGCTTCTGGCAGATCATGTCCAGCTTGAAGGCGGGGCGGCCGGTCAGGTCTGGTATGGACGTCATCTCGCCGCCGGACCTGCCCACGGACGAGAACATCAGCTGAACGGCGCAGCACGGCACGGCACGGCACGGCACGGCACGGCACGGCACGGCACGGCACGGCGCGCGCGGCCGGTGGTGGCCCCGGTCACCGCTCTCCGTTGCCGTGAGCCCATGCACGGCTGAGTGCATCCGACACCACCACTAGTTACATTCACGGCTCGGAGCCGACAGGCGCGGCTGTGTACAGCCACTACCGTTATGTTATGCACACGGACGCCCCACAGGCAGCCGATTTTCTGACATGCCAGTCGGGGCGGACGTAAATCATGCACCCGTGATGCGGCGTATATCGCCATTCCCAGAGGTTGCCACCGTGAGAAACTTGATCCGGGGTGCTTAACGATTAATTGTCGTGTCAACACGGCTTGATGAATGAAGTTTGTTTACTATATGATGCTGATATATTTGTATTGCCTAAGAGTCACATCAATACCAATCTACGAAGAAAACTAAATAAGCATTTCCACTGAGGGGAAGAGAAGAAACGGACAATAATACAATATAAAAATCCATGCTCAAGGATCACACATACTCCTACAAGTCGGAGCGATCGCGTTTATCGTTGTGTCCCATATCACCAGGCAGCTCGCACATTTGCACAATTCGCATCAGTCCCCCCTCCCCTTCCTCCCGTCCACGACCCGGCGGGGCACACGTCTGGGAGGGCCCCGGGGGAACGTTCACGCTTCCCTCCCCTCTCCACACCCCTTCAGTCATCAAAAATGCAGAATCATTAACGGCGCCGAGGCCTCTGGGAGATGAGCCCCACGTCCTCTCCAGCAAAAGGGTTGCCAGCTGGGCGAAAAAGTTCAAGTTTTTTATGCATTTCTTTGACATTATCACTGATGCCGATTTTTTGCGTGTGAATTGGAGAGAAAAAAGCGACAATGCGCGTGCAGCGGCGTCCGCACGGCCCGTGGGTCCGATTATTCTCCCAGCGCTCCGGAGGCGGGCGAAAGGGTTGGCAGAATAAAAGGAAACGGAACATGACGAGACCGAGGAAGGAGTGGGGAGCCTTTTCTATGAGAAAATTCAGCATGTCATGCCTGTAATGGCGCCGGCCGCGCATTGCCATTGCGGGCTGGCTGGCAGCTGGTGGAGAGCGGCGCGTAACCAGGTACACACGGTCCGACACCGGCCGCCTGGGAACGGCCGCTGACGGTGCTCGGATGGGACTGCCCCTGCTGCCCGGACAGCGAGCCGAGGACCGAGACCGAGACCGAGACCGAGACCGAGACCGAGACCGAGACCGAGACCGAGACCGAGACCGAGACCGAGACCGAGACCGAGACCGAGACCGAGACCGAGACCGAGACCGAAACCGAAACCGAGACCAAGACCGAGACCAAGATCGAGACCGAGACCGAGACCGAGACCGAGACCGAGACCAAAACCAAGACTGATACCGAGACCGAGACTGAAGGCGCAGACTGAGGGCGAGGCGGCGGCACGCAGCGGACCGAGACCGAGACCGAGACCGAGACCGAGACCGAGACCGAGACCGAGACCGAGGTCAAAACCAAGACTGAGACCGAGACCGAGACTGAGGGCGCAGACCGAGGGCGAGGCGGCGGCGCGCAGCGGACCGAGACAGAAACCGAGACCGAAACCGAGACCGAGACTGAAGGCGCAGACTGAGGGCGAGGCGGCGGCGCACAGCGGACCGAGACCGAAACCGAAATCGAGACCGAGACCGAGACTGCGGGCGCAGACCGAGGGCGAGGTGGCGGCGCGCAGCGGACCGACTAAAGGACGGCTGCCGGCGTCGCCCATTAATCATCGCTTCTACCTGCCGACTCGCCGTCCGTCTCCAACCATGTCACCGTCGCCTCTGGACCTGCCTCTTTCTCCCATCCCTCTAAATACCCTCATTCAATCCCGATGAATCGGGAAATCTTCACAAAATATCGACCGCCTAAACTAACTTCAATTCTAAATAATCGCTATCTTGTCCATTTATTTTCTATTATTTTGTACCATCCATCTTTGAGAGCGGCCCAGGCCACATCCAATGATGAGTTGTCTTTTCTCCGCTTCGTGCGGGAATAAGGCGTTTTGCTTTATCACGGTACAGATCTTGGGAAATCGCCGCGGTGGAATTCGACAAAAACCTGAGGTGTTTCATATCGGAGCCGTCAGGCTCCGCCGGGAATGGAAGGAATGCCAGATGCCGAATGCGAGCTCCTTCCCACAGTGTAAAAGGGTTTATGTTGGCATCAAACGGAGCGGCGACACGCGGCTGGATTGTCGGAAACTCGTCAACTATTCCATGTGTCGCGGGGGCCGTAAGCCGATCCCGTCTAAGACGGCTCGCCCGTCGACGCCTCGGCCAGCGGCGCCTCGGCCAGCGGCGCCTAGTCGGGCGCGGCTCGGCCGGGGACGCTGCGCCTCAGCCAGCGGCGCCTCGTCGGGCGCTGCGCAGCCGGGGGCGCGGCGCCTCAGCCAGCGACGCCTCGTCGGACGCTGCGCGGCCGGCCGGCCGGCGGCCGAGCACGCGCGCCAGCCGCGCATCAGGGCCACGGCCTGCGGCCGACCGGCGTCGCTTATTACTCCAGCCATGATGAATGGTTGGCCGTTTACAGAAAAAGGCCACTGCAGAGGCCGGCCGCGTCTGCCGGCGCGGCAGCCGCCGGGTCGCGTGAGCGGCAGCCGCCGCCGCGGGGCCCGGCAGGCCGGCCTCTGGTGAGAATGACCCGGGCACGGCCGGAGGCCCGGGCAGGGCCGGCCAGAGGTGAGGTGAAGCGTACAGAGAGTCGAGGACAACGTGGAGGTCGAAGTTGTACTACACACTGCACAGCGACGAACGCATGCATTGCTGCCGTGCCACTTCTAAGGCAAACCGGCACATTCGCGGCGGCTTGCGGTCAAAGCGGGTCAGCAAATCCTGCGGCCGTGTGACCTGCTCATGCTCCCAGAGAAACAGACGTGACGCTACCCCCGTCCAGCGGTCACAAAACAGCCGTCAACCCCCCTCCCCCCCCCCCGCTCACTGAAAGCCCACCGCCCCCCCCCCCCCCGTCCTCCCATCCCGGCACGCTGATGGATGCCTCCAAAAACACCGGCTTTGTTACTAAAATGCCCACCCCATGATGCAATGGATTATTTACATACCGCCATTAAGACGGCCGAGCAGGCAGCGGCGACGGGCACCATTAGTTGGGCGGGCGGCGAGGACCGGTCGGGCCGGCCGGGCCCGACGGGAGCTGCGCGCCCTGCCGCGCCACGGCCCGCTGGCCGAGGTGACGGGCCGACCAGCGGCTCCCGGGACCACCGCCGGTCCGCGCGGCAGGCCCGGCGCGCAGCCGGCGGCGGACCGAGCGGAGCGCCGCAGCTGCTCCGCTACAGCAATGCCAGAGCGCAGAGCTCGGAGCTCAGGCTGACGGCCGCGTCACGGCCGGCCATTGATAACGCGAACGACGGGAACGGCCACGCGTGTCGATTGTCAGCGCCAATCGACGGTCAGCTGTCAGCAGGCAGTGTCGAAACACAGCAGTGCTCGGACGCAGTTCCAGCACGTGGCAGACACGCAATCTCAGTCGTGGCGCGACCCCGCCTTTCGCTCACCCCTACGACCTACGACAACGCTCGTCCCGACCTCTCCCTCCCCCCCAGAGGCGTCCCGACCACCTGGGCCGGAGTGCCTCCCAGCACGCCGAGCCGCCGGGCGTCGCCAGCGCGGCTCGGTGAGGCGCGGCGGTTATCGCACCGGCGCCGGCAGACCCTCTACTGCGCCGATTGCAGCGCATCTGTCCGCCTTTATCGCCCGCTCCGCCCGTTATCACCCGAATTCCTCGGACAGACGCCGACTTCTGGCGAGTGCAGCGCCTGCGCGCGGAAGGCACCTCCCCGCTGATAGGTCAACAGGTAGGGTGAAGGGGCGCACGGCGTGAACCTAGGGGCCGCGAACTGGCGGACTGACCGCTGGGCTGCCATGCTTGGGCGGTTGTCGCTGAGTCAACCAAAACCAGAAGGGTTGGAACAAAATATAATGTCACGTGCATTGTTGTGCTGTATTCCATTACAAATACTTCTCCTCACTCAAGAAAACCGTGGCAGTGTCAATTACAGCTAAAACGAGCGTCGGAAAGAACCACAAGACGACAGTCGCGACAAGAAAGACAGCGTGGTTGAAGCCTTTGTATCCTTCCGAAGGGGATGGAAAATGATTATAGCGCATTGCATCCGACCGCTCGAAGAGGTGATGTTGAACAAAGTGGACGACTGTGAAAATAATCAGGTGGCTGGTTGCAAATGTTCTCTGGGTAGACGACACTGAATATCAACAAATCGAAAGATGTCGATGGCAGACCTCCCTCAGGTTTGCAAATAAAGCTGTCTTGCAGCTAGGCAAAGAGTATGCTCCCACAAAGTTTGCGTTATCGCGATGATAAGGCACTTTCTGCTCATGGTCACCAGATGTCCTCCGGTGAGCTATTCGCGGTCAGTGTTTTCGGCCGGATTAAGTCTCACGGTCGGCTGAACACGGAAAAACTGCGTTGAGAATCTTTCGGGGCCATCGAGCAAATACTTCGAGAGAACGTTGCTGGCTAGATAACCTTGGGAGACAAATGATCTCAGACTAGTAGATATCAGTAACCTACCGATGCATATGCAGATCGCCAAACTAGCAGGGGCGTGGTCTTACCGCTGGAGAACGGCAAGCTAACCCAACCATTCAACTGACATACACGATAGCGAAAATTGTTCTACGAAAGGAACACAAGAGCAAAACGAACATCAGACAAATCTCAACCATATTTACAAGTGACAATTTACGGATGCTTTACTACATTATTTATGATTTGTTTAGCTTCTATGGCATATCGCTTCACATGCCGATTTGCTATGGACAAATGATGGCTTAACCTGCCATTGATGGCTTAGTCCTATGAGCAAATTGTTCACAGGCTAGTTCGTGCATGCACCAAAAGCCATGTCATTCACATCGTTCCGCAAATATACTGAAGACCAGTC